TGTGCCCACATCCCCCCACATCTTAGTGTCATCAGCAAACTTGAACAGGGTGCTTTGCACCCCCTCATCCAAATCACTGATGAAGATGTTGAACAGGGCGGGCCCAAGGACCGAGCCCTGTGGGACCCCACTTCCCACGTCCTTCCAGGTCGAGAAGGACCCATCCACTACCACCCTCTGGGTGCGACTCTCTAACCAGTTGGCAACCCACTGGACTGTATGGGTGTCTACGCCAGTCCCCCAGCTTCCTAATGAGAATGGGGTGAGAGACAGTATCAGAAGCCTTCCTGAAGTCTAGGAAAACTATATCCACTGCCAGTGGATATAACAGTTATCATCAAGTTTAACATCCAGTTATGCAAAAACCACTGTCACCCCCCTGAGCCCAAATGAAGAGAAGGCTGCCTAGCAATATTACTGAACTCTTCTTTCCATTTTTTGAGCCACAGAAACACAAGAGAGTGCAGTTATTCCTCCAGGGAGACAAGAGGAAAAAAAACAGAAAAACTTTGCTAAGTGCTCAGATTTCCTGAGTAATACAGTCTGAACCATCTGTAAGCCTCAGAAGCAGTTGTGTTGGAAGCTGCATAACTGCAGATGGTTATTAAAGCCAGCTCCCCTGTTATCACTTTTCACTTGGAACAGTTGTATTGGTCCAACACTAACATTTAAATTAAATTAATATCTTTGACACAAGCCACTGAGAGATTAAAGCTATGGCATATGCCCTCAACTTGCCCATGGACCAGTGGTGCACCTGACTAGAGAAGATTCCTCATCTGCCTCCTGGCTGGTTCAGGGCCATGCCTTGAGCAGTAGACTAGATCAGTGTGGGCCAACCTTTTGGAAGCTGTGCCAGGTGCCAAGTCCCATACCCACTGAATACCCCTCTGATCCCCTTCCCCTGCCCAATCTGCTGCTCTGTTTTCTGTTCTCTCCCTGATCTATTGCATGCCATACACAGAGGCTGTCCATGCCACCTGTGCCAGGTTGGTCACCCTGGGACTAGATGATCTCCAGAGGTCCCTTTTGACTTTCAGTTCTGTGCATCTATTTAGATTACAAAATCCAATGCAGTGTAGAATTACCCACAATGCATCATCATACATACAAGTATATAGATGTGCCTTAGTTTTCTGAAGAGGATATATTGGTTTTTTACAGGCTGTTCTCAAAGACAGTTGAATTTAAGTACCTATCTAAACTGGGTAAGCTTCAACTTCTAGTCAGTAAATGTATTCCATATCATGGATCCATAGGAGAACATGTTCTTTTCTTTGAACTATGTATTTCTCTATGAACACTGCTCAAGAAAGGATGGCTCATCACCCCCAACTCCCATTAAATTCAAAAGGGAGCGACTGGTCCTCGGCTCCTCTGAAAGTTCCCTCTTAACTCCTCGGGTTGCAAGCTGAGCTACTGCCAACATACATTCATATTCACAAAGCCTCTCAGACACGGGGGAAGGAGGCTTTCACTTCATCTGGGTGGTAAGCTCCATCTTGAAAGAGATGCTGACTGGACAAATGAGAAACTTCTGTCACTATCTCCTTTGCAAGGGGGAACCCCCCCGCAAAAAAGCAAGCCTGGCTTTCTGACCCCAAAATGCTATTTTTGCTGACAGCTTTACATCTCTCTAATGTCAATGAACTGGGACCATGGGAAGGCTACCTCCTTCCTAACACATGGAAATCACTAAATTTTTTGCAGCTGGTGCAGGTAGCTCAAAAACCTTGACATCTACTTCACATTTATCACAATTATTTGAAGGGTGATCTTGCTCTCTTTTGGAAGAGTGAACATTACTGTCTTACAACCACTTTAACCACTAGACCACCAACAACTGCAAAGGCGCATGATCCAGTTGAGACAGAGTGGTTGGTGGTACTTTCAGGGTAGTCACTGCGGCATTTTCTGAAATAACCTTTAAAAGGAAAAGTCTTCTGAATGACAGCCATGAAATAAAGAGCAGGATGTATCTGATAGGAACAGTCAAAGTCTTGTTTCCCCCACTTAACAGCTCCAAAAAAAGAAACAGGAACTGCATGCATAAACATGGACTGGAAGCAGTTGATGGTGTTTTATTTTTGTAGGTCTTTTAAATATATAAAACTGCACTACCGCCTAGAAAGATAGAAGCTAAATGTATTTGAAAGTAAGTTTAAAAAATAAGAACGTAGTGCTGTTTAAAAGTGCCAAGCTGACAACTCTGCAGACTAAAGTTATCCACTCCTGCACCCAAGTACCACATAGTTAGCACAGGGAGTCTTACACAGCTGCTATGCGAGGCCTGACCTAGAAGGACCACCGCTTCAAAGGAGCTAAGGAATGAACGGATGTGGAGACAGAACAGAAACCATGTCCACTAGGAACTCAAGTCAGCCCTTGTCTTTACTATTTAGTACCAGCCGAGTCTTTCTAGACTGTGCCGAGCACCTGGGCACATTGTGATCAGAACGACCATACCAATAAGAAGTTACTCTCAAGTCATTTCACACAGGCCAAAGAACTGCAGCCACATGCTGGGAATGACTGGCCAATGTCGGTCCAATAGGGACTAGAACCAGCAACCTTTGAAATAAGAACCAGTCGTCCCGAATCAAAATGCTGGTTGTTTTGCGTGGGTAAATTGTATTCCTCAAGTTGTGCCACTCCAAATATACAACACGGTGCAAAATCAGGTTTCCCAGTATTTACTTTGTTTATACTAGAGCATCCCTGACTGTCGTATCTGTTTTTTTCAAAAGCTTATTAGAAAGAGATTTTTTCCATGGAAAGAAAAACACTTTGCTTAACTGGAAATAAAATTAAAACCCTGTGACATTTAACCTAGAGGTCTATGAAACTTATAGGCTGATGCTGCTGATTCCTTGAAGTTTATCAACAGCAGATTCAAATACAGAAGTCTGATTCTTCACAGTTTCATTCTTTAGTGCAGCAGAAATATAACCAAGTAGTTTCAGAAGGCTTTTCAAGGCATTTAAAATTGATAAACATAGCTTATTTGGCACAGAGGTGCTTTTAATTATGCATTATACCGCATGAGACAGATTGAGAGGATTAACAAATATAAGCAGCAGAACTGCTAGAACATATGGCTCCTTAGAAGCAGTAATAAATGACACTTTACCTGACCACTGAAATCTTTCTAAAGATGTAAAGAAACTACAGTAACACATTTGAGCAAAGATCTACTAAAACAAATCATTTATATTTTCTTGGTCTGAGGTATTTCTGAATGTTTTGGAAAAACCAGACTATGAGAAAATTTAACCATATACTCTCAGCTACAAAACAGGTTATTTATAAAGAACATCTACTGCTGCCAGGCAGGGGAAATAGTATGTGCAAAATATTACAGTTGGGCTTGAGACACTCCCCCGGTTCGGTTTGAAACCAGTCCGAGACCCAACATACCATAAAACTGGTTTTCTGAAAGGTAATTGGGATTTGCCTGGACTTGGTGGCTGATCATCTTCCAGAAGCATTGTAAGACCTTTTAATTTGGGCAGGCCTTCAGCAAACAGGATTTTGAGAGGCATTACCTAAGGAGCTTGTTTCTATTACATATTTATTTGTTTTAATACTTTTATCTGTCTATACTTGATCTGGTTATTATTGCAAGTCACTCTGAGCTTCCTTTGGGGAGGAGAGCATATCAATCTAAGAAACAAACCAGGCATAAAAAAGTTGCCTGCTACCATCCAATTGTATTCAGACAACCGCATCTGTCCTTCCTGCCCAGGTCCTTTCAAGTATATTTTCAATTGTGACCACAAAGCCAATATAAATGTCCAATCAGAAAGAACAGAGGACAGTGACCTAAATTAACTGTCAAGCTTCTTATCACATGATCCTTGGCATTTTTGAAGCTTTATACTCTCATGAGGATCCTACTCCTTCCTGTAAGTAAATCTCTGCCGAGGGAAACAGTTCGTAAGCAAGAGCAAATTCTTGGTGTGAAATACATTCTCCCATACCTTTCTTTTTGCTTCTTTACAGCTGCCCACTTGGGTATGCTTCAGAAAAACCTCAGATGAAAGCCATAATTTCAAGGATTATTTTGGACTATACACAGCTTACTTTTATGCCACCGTTTTGCAGGCGGGAAACAAATTTAGTAAGGTCACCCAGAGAAGGAAGCACTGGAAGATGAGGAGTATAACCAAGTTCCCGATTTGACTCTCAGTACTAATTCTTTCATAAAAGTTGAGTCTTCTTGCCTACATAGGCTGACTACACAGTGCCAGCTGCAACAAAAGCATCCCTCCAGAAGTACGGGTTAAACTCCCAAACACAAATAACAATTATAGCTTAGACACTGGATTCAGTGGGCACATAAATCATTCCATGAAATGAAAGAGCATAATCTCATTTTCAGTAAAAACCTTATTAAGTGTTAGGGACACAATTAGTCTGCACCGCAATTACAGCAAGTCCTGCTCAGCAGTGTTAGTCACCGGAGTACATTCTTGCCTGTCTGCAATTTTCCTTTTATAAATAGTTTAACATGAGGCACAGGCTTTGTTTCCAAGTCAGCCAGAGAATGTTTTTCCCTGCTCAATGGCGAGGGATCCTGAAAAACTATTTTACATAAATGTTGTAATTAAATCTAGTTACGGTCCATCTATGTGTACAATTCTTGCTTATTGTGAATTTGGTTTGGCAAGTATTAAAAACGGACCTTTCAGACAATACCCTGAATAAAGTATTAAAAGCTGCCAAATAAATTTTAAAACATTACACCACCATTCTGATGTATCAATAAAATATTTCCCCAACCTTATAAGTCAGGTCTGTTCTTGTATTTTTTTTGGAGTATTGATTCTTCATTTAGCATTTTCTGTGCCTTCCCCCCTGCAAATAACTGTTTTAGTAATCTTCAACATTAATTCCCATGGAGCAAACAGCAGGTGACCTACTTTACAGGAAATCCTAGACAACAGCATGTATTACTTATACATCAATGTCCCAGAACAGAACGTTCCAGGTAACTACTACTAGCAAGATGACAAGTAGGGTCTTGTATTTCCTACAGTAATAATAAGGACTTTTTTCATGTTACATTGCAACAGTGGCAAATAATAATACCAAACTGTATTCTTGGAGTATAATCTGCCTAAACAAGTACACACTGTAACACAGAAACTAAGATGTACAACTTTCAGTCAGCCTCAAGCCAACGTTGTAAATCTTCTTTTACAAGTGCACTAGATCATAAGTTAACTTATGTGTTACCTGTTCGAAATCTCTAATGCAGAAATACACCATTTGAGGCACCATCAACCCTGTGCACAAGAACGGATTCACACTTATACTTTGTTAGCAGAATGCATGCTAACAAAATTTACTCAATATAAAACTACTTTTGAGTGAGAGTTTCAGCATCCTGACAGGAGTATCGCCCAACTCCACGGGCTCCAATACTGCAGAGTACTTCAACGTTCTCCCAAAAACTAATATTGGTGTACACTGCCTGGAAAACTACTTAGGCTCATGCAGACCTTCCATGTGCAGAAATATAGTTCTCAACAGAAATACCTTTTCTTCCTCTGTGTGTTTTACAGATACAAACACAGCTTGGCAATAAGAAAATAAAGTAAAATTCAGTGTGAAGGCATGGCACTAAATTAATGCTGCTCACAAAAAGCCATCCAAAGATCTTGCTAAAAGTTTTACAAAACTTGTAGGAATTAATTTTGCCAGCTTTAGAATCCTGGACACTCAAAATATCCTTGATATTTAATAGTGGCGTCCTTTCCAAGGGAACTCCAAGAATTTTACTCACACACACTTGTATACACAACACGTACACAGCTCATACACAGCTATAAAGTAGAACATTAATAATAAAATTACATTTAAAGCAACTACAGCACAAGGCTCCATTGATGGGAATTATACAACTGCACCTATGAGAATAAGGAATAAAGACACAGGTAAATGTTTTCTTATTGGAGAGAATGTGTACTGAAACTAATTAAGTACATATGTTAAGTGTAAATTAGAAAGAGTCAAGTGTTGAGCACTGAGTTGGAAGCAATAAAAATTCAACTTAAAGCAACAATCAACTGATGTCATATGTTCGCTATATTTAAAAAAAAAATGAACTAACTTAGTTGTATCAGTATATCACTCATATTCCTCTCCAAACTACGATATAAAATATCAGGCACTCTATAAAGCCTGAATGCCCAGAGGTATTTAAGTATGGCATTGTCCTCAAGAACTGGAGGAGGAACGGAGGAACTTAAGTTTGGAATATTTTATTTCTTAATGCAGGCTAAAATCTTCACGAGACAAATATGTGCCTGTGCCCATCTCAACCTGCGAGCAAGCACAGAGCATTACACACAGACTTTTCACTATCTGGTCTCTCTGTCTAATTTCTGCTTCCACAAGAGCAAAGTGACCTGACAGCACATGGGTCAGAACAAAACAAAATTGAAACAGGAAAAAATAAAAAAAGCAAAAACAGAAGTAGGTTTTAATGAAGTGACAGCAAATTGACTACAATTACACATCAGTCACGTAACATCATGTACAGTGCCAGTGGAAGGGAACAACTGCGACAGCTAAATGAAGACCCCACTTCCCCTTCCCACAGACGCACTTACTTTAGCTACGCAATCATCAAAAAATGCGAGACTTGCATCCTTATCGCTGACAAAAGAACACTCTTCAATGAAGCGAATGAACATCTGGGTTTTGGTCATCAATGTGTAGAACTTCTGATGCGACCGATCTCGACTTTTTAAGAATCCTGTAAAATAAACCAAACTTAGAAAAGAATACTACTAACAAAAGGAAATTCCACTAACAACAGGAGAGGCAAGCGTTTCTTAGGGTGATATCTGTTATGGTCTAGTTCTGTAGTTGGGATATAGTTAGGCAAGTCTGCAAATGCAAGACATTCTTCCTCAAGAAATCCTTGCCTCTTGCACAATTACTGAACCATCATAGTTACAACTTAACTCTTAACAGTACTAAGAAAGGAGTTAATTTTTAAAGATATTTGTTATCATTTTTTTAAATTAGTGCCTTGTATTACTGCTTAGTTAAAATTCAGCTGTCAAGTAAGCACATTTTCCTTTTTCTGTACTGCTTCACCAGATGGTTTGGGTGCTATATGATTTTCCCTGCTATCATTACATAATATTGTCAATGTTATCATTCAACAGACCAACACTTTCTCATTTATCATTTCGTGGAAAGAAAATTTATGCATGTTACTGGTTTATGATTTTAAAAGAAAAAAAAAAAATCAAGATTATAACCATTTACCTTGCAGTTCAAAGAGGGAACTTGCGTCTGTGGCGGTCTCAGAAGGTGCTTGCGTTATTGGCCTTAGGTATGACCTATAACCCTTTAATATTGAGGCCATGAAACACAGAAATGCCTCCTGGATCTCTAAATCTAACAAATGCAACTTCTTGCCGGAATTAAAATCATAGTCATTCATTGCTAACTCCATTAATGCATCTTCTCTTGGTCTTTGCTGCACTGTGAACAACAATGGTGTTAAAATGCTCTCTCAGTGGTTAAAAAAACAACTCTTAGTGTTGACAGAAAAGGCAGTAATTTCCCTTTTATCCTATCGGGTTTACTTATTACCACACTATGCTCCATTATGTTCTAGATCTGGTTTAAACATAAGCCATTAAATTCAATCTTCAAGTCTGATAATGAATTTAGGATGACAGCATGCGAATCACAAGTCCCTGGGTTATCCAAAAGGCAGACACAAGCACATTCACCTTTTCAGTACATTAGTTACTATGGAAACAGAGGCAGAATTGGTATGGACAGAGCTCAGAGACATCCTTATACAAGGGCTGGTTATGAAATGTGTTGAACTATATACCGGAGCTGATAACATTCCTGAGTTTTTTATGAATATGATAATCACATACATGGGATACATCATTTCCCTTTTATAGTGGCGTCCTTTCCAAGTGGACCCCAAGAATTTTACTCATGCACACTTGTATACACAACACACACAGCTCCTACATACCATAGCAATATAATGTAAATAGAGGCACAACCGCGCACAAATACAAAGGAAGAAAAGCATTTTGGTGAAGGAAAAAAAAATGTAAAAACAAAATCCTAGCCAGAATCCCAACTCGTATGAAATGTGTTTTCAACAGAGATCATGGAGGCACTAGGAGGAACCCAATTCTTCAGGGTGCACCGCAGTGATATGAAGTGCTAATGGCATCTGTACGGAACAGAACCGGGGTTTCACCACTCAGTCCCACCATCCTTGGGTAGCAGCCATTGATTACGTTATATTTAATTCTGAGTATGACCACCGAACAGGAGACACACTTCATTTTATACTACATACAGAGTATCTGTATTTTAGAAACTGTTAAGAAACCCCTTCTATTCGGGTAATGATGTGCAACTATTAGGAAACTGCATAACCTTCATAACAGATTCCTCCTACATAATACAGTATACCGACATTTGTACAATATGATATTTTTGGCGAATTCCATATAATTATACACTCCTAAAATTCTAATAACCTTTCCATAGCCAAGATTTTATTAAAATGGATGCTTGATGTTAGAAGCCCAAGTTCACATTCCAGCACTTAAACAACTGGCCTGGTTTTGAGAAGTGAGCATCCACCCTTGTTAGAGACCTCAATTTTTTTTCAAAGCTCTTGATCAAAGGTTTCCAGGGTAACATCCCTCAAATGCATCTGCTTTGAACTAACTCCACCTTCCTCTTGGGCTGGTCTGTCTCAAACTGGTTCTCTCTACCACTGTATTTTAGTCTTACGATCCATAGGTACTTCTATTACCCAAGGTCCCCCCATCCAAAGCCCAGTGAAGTTAAAGGAAACAAGCCCAAATGAAAGTTTTCAGAACTGTGTTCATTTTACTACTCTGAGCTCACCTCTAAATATTTTTTTGTTCTCAATCACAACATCTAATTTAGATTTCAGTGCATTTAGCTCACCATCGTAACATTTTAGGGTTGTACAGAAAGGAATCATTTAGAAACACTTAAGGGTATAGGGCCACATTAACAAAAAATAAAATCTTTTAAAATTCCTGTCACCTTCACTCTGAAAAACGCTGCACACTCAAGCCACAATCCGGCTGTTTCTACGGTAGCTGCAGCTGGATGAGTGTTGCTCTGCTCCCTTCACTTCCAGACCTGCAGCTGGATGAGTGTTGCTCTGCTCCCTTCACTTCCAGACCTGCAGCTGGATGAGTGTTGCTCTGCTCCCTTCACTTCCAGACCTGCAGCTGGATGAGTGTTGCTCTGCTCCATTCACTTCCAGACCTGCAGCTGGATGAGTGTTGCTCTGCTCCATTCACTTCCAGACCTGCTCCTGCCCCTGCTGTGCCACTCTGGGTGGGCAGGTGTGGAAGGAAGCTTCATACAGGCATCTTCCGCTGGAGGCAAGAACCACGAACAGCCCCACTGGAAGCTGTGCATGCTGGTTGGGGCCCAGGCTGGAGCGTGGCGCGGGCTGCCTCGGTGGGACCGGATGGGGCAGGCCCCGTGCAGAGTGTCATGAGGGCAACTGTGGGCCACATGTGGTCCATAAGCTATATTTTACCCAACCCTGTTTTAAGCCATGGCCTCAGGGAAAAAACCCTGACATACAGCCCCAGTAAAACATCCTAAACTTTAGTGCAGAATGTTATGATAAATTTTGCTTGCAGATTTTAGCACAAGGCTACATCAGTAAAGGGAAAAAAGTGGTCACAGCATTCAATGCATTTCACACACCCTAGTCAACGAGCAAGAGTCTTGACAACCCTTTGAATGTTCACCAGGGCCTGAGCAGCTATCCTAAGACTACAAGGAGCATAAATGCAGCATAAAACTATGCACAGGAATGAAGACAATAAATATTACAGACTTGAGTGTCCAAAGTTATTTCTGCTCTACGTGAGAAGAGCCATGTGTACTGTAAGGTACAACGAATGCAAACCAAGATTGGTTTTGCAAGCCTTGGCTGTCTATTTGCTCTTCTGTTCTATCCTCACGGCTTCCTTTTTGATTGCAAGTGTAACAGGAAAAAGGATGGAGAAATGGCCCTGCCTTTATTTTATATAAAAAGCCACTTTTCCCAACACATAACCCAGTAAATTGTTCCTAATCTTAAAGTGTTGCTTTAAACAGTCCCTTGTTTGTAAAATGATTTTGTGATGCTTAACATAAAGGAGATTTTTTTTGGGGGGGGGGGGGGGGGGGGGGGGGGGGGGGGGGGATTAATCTTTTAAAAAAAAC